AAAAACATCTGGGGAGCTTGTGAGAAATGATAGGAGGGTTACAGGAAATAATGTGATCTGTGTCACGATAATAACACTTGCTTACATTTGTTATCTGATGTATATGTGTTTAAGATAAATGATCCATGTTTGTCCATCCTCTGAATCAAGAAATCAATTTCACAAACAAAATTCTAATAAAATAAAATTCTTTGGCTGTTCCAAACATTATCTTTTTCCAAGTTAAGAGAGCAGTTTGCATTCATCGTGAAAAGAGCTAAGCCTATTTAGAGAGCTGAGCATGACTTAGGCATAATGCAAGCATAGAGGGCAAGCTGAATATGTGTGTGCATGTGAGAGAGAGGGAGAGAGACTGTAAAGTAGGCATGGCATCAATCCATGTTTAAACATAAAAGTGCTGAGGGGGCTGGAACAATAAGAGAAAAAGAGGCTGTCTAGAATGATTGAGCTGAATGCTTTTCCATTCATGAATACAGTCAACATTTTGCAGCCACATCATATCCTGGAATCAGTGGTTCACCACTGTGGCATCCAGCGTTGACCAGGCTTCCTAAGTTATGAAAACCCTAACTTTCAGTTTATAGGAATGAATAGGACAGTCTTCAGAACAAAGGATTTGGGGCTATGTCCATAAATGTGTTTTTCATTTTAAGAGGTAGTTTAATTCAAAGTGAGATAACAGATGTCTGTCTCTATGGAAACATTCAAGTTTCCATGAAAACCCTCAACGGTAAAGCTGTAGTAGAAGTAGGACAAGTAGAAGAAACAGACACTGAAGAGAAATGCTACATTTAATAAAACTTTCAAACCAACACTCTAAACTTTACAGTCACTGATTTTGCTTGTAATGTTCATCTTTAAGAGAAACAACTTCTCCTGTTGGAAATGTGAAACAACACTTACGCTTTCTTTCCACAGACAGCCCCTTGGTACCAATTACGACAAGTGCTAAAATACTTCTTCTTGGTCCCCATGACTTGCTGGAGTGCACAGACATTGGGTCTGATAAGAAATGAGGGTGAGAAAGAGGATGAAGCATTAATCACTAGGTAAAACACATTGGTAAGATTCTATGAAACTCTGAAATAATTCATATTTAAATTATTATGTGACAAACAGCACTGCTGGGTAAGACAAAACTGTCAAAGTGTGAGTCATTATTTGCCAACCACCTTCTGAAACCAGGCAGTCAAATGTGAATAATGACAATCACGCCTTCGAGATATGAAATTGTTTTTTCAGATTTGATTCAACAACTATAGCCCTGCTGGTTTACACATACACACAGGCTTAAAAAAAATAGACAAGACAGAAATGTACAAGAATTATTGATGCTTCTTATGCTCAAGGCTCAATACTATTGCATGCAAAATAATAATCAGAATGAAAAATATTGATAAGCTTACCCTTCTTTTCTTGCCCTGATGCGACTGTGGGCGACTATTTTGTCATAAGCAGAAGAGTCAGCCTTGTCAGAGAGCACAGAGAGTGCAAAGGCAGCCAAAAAAAGGAGCTTCATCCTTGATTTCTTAGCTAGCCCTTCCAGACCCAGAGTAACAGCAGAGGACTCAGAGTGGGAGCTTATATACCACAAGTCTCAACCTCCACTCAAGGAGGATGGCAACATATCATGCATGCATGGACCACCCAGAAACTCTCAAACCCCACATGTCTATACACAAATGTATTTTATAATTTTGTGTGATTTAGTGCATTTTTATATATTAAATCATTTATGGAGTACCATTTTTTACAAGACCACCGCCACATTTACAATATGTTTTGTCTTTTTTTTGCCATTTGTCTTTCATGCAGCATACATTCTAGGCTTCTTTATTTAAGTATTTTAGAAACTTTTAAAGTCACTTCACAGCTCTAGCACAAAGACCATCTTTGATAAACAGCTGATTGCATGGCACTGAAAATAAGAAAATTATCTGGACATATAGGCACACTTTCTGTTTAAAAATTCAAGGTATTAAGGCTCAATATTAGGTCTTTAACAAATTGCTTCAGTAAATACTTCTCAGTATACTGCTACTAAAGGCAGTTTTTTTGGAGCCCTGAAGCTAAGAGCCACATTAAGAGAGAAATATAATAAGCAGATTGGATAGTGAATCCAGCTGTATCTTTTCTATAAAAGTGTCACTTATTTTGGACCACTAACAAAGAAAAATTACATAATCTCTACTCTGAAGAAATGCCAGAGCACTGACTGTATAAATCTTTCAGAATGTAGTTTGCTCCACCTAGTGGTGGGAGGGAGTGCAGGCAGCGACTCTCACACACCAGCCTTTTTAAGCCACAAAACCAAATCTATATGTCAAACTCTCAAATTGATAGTTGTATAACATAAGAACTAACATCACACAGGCATTTGTACTTTCAAGTTTCATATCTTGGGGGTACAGACACAGACACAGCAAGATAACTGTGAAACGGCTCAAACTTGGACAGGACTAAAAGGAAATAATAATGAGCTGCAATGTATAAACAGCATGAACACACATGTCAAAAAAATTTAATATATTAACAATTTTTTTTGTTTCTGTAAAAACAAACAAACTTAATTAATATTACTTCTAAGCAAAATTACCCATGCAATTGGTTTATAATATTAAAATACTGTATAATTTGGTTGAAGTCATTTACACATCATTAGTTCTGAAGTGTAGCTGTTGTTAAACTACCAGCAGGTAATGTTACTCATAGCATACCCAAGTGGCATTACTTACACCATTCATTTTGTCACATGTTGTTCAACCTCCTGGCTAGCCAGATGTTCCAAATGTTAGTAGGAAGGTAATGTTCCCCAGGCCAGCTAAGTCAATGGATTGTAAAAAAGGGGAAAAGACACAGCAGGATCCAATGCTACACCAATGATTTGAGACCGAAAACCAGTGGCTCAACTTCGGCTTGTGAATTATGTGTAGGTTTAATCAGTGAGCCTGAAAGTAGAAAAAATTTCAGAAAATGAACCATTCAGCAAACCACATGTCAATTAAAAAGCTGATACTCTCAAGGCAGCAAGCCTCTCACAAACTTGATTAGTCAAGGCCTTTAGAAAAGCACTTACGCATAAAATCCCTACCCAGGCTTTTCATGTAAAATCCCAAAGACTGGAATACATTAACTTTACATTCCCAAAATTCCATTGAGCAGCCAATTTTCAAACTAAAAACTCCATACTTGCTTGCTCTGGGAAATAATGGCACCCATTACTTCACTACAGTGATAATTAAATGCAGCGTGGCTTTTACACTTTGAATCAGAACACAGTCTGAATCAGTCACTTTCACACACACTGACACAAACACTCCATGTGTCACAAAGAACAGGCAAAGAAAGTTTTGGTCCCAAGTACAGTTCTTCTCTTTGTGTCTTGCTAGAAAGCTCATTTTGAGTGGATTAAAGGGTAAAAAAATGTGGCAGAAATTTAAACTGAGCGAGATCTTCAGATATAGTACAAAGACCAAAGTCTGTTGATTGGTTTTCTAAAGATAGTGTGACTTGCTCTCGGCTGCTATGGTAACAGAAACCCAAAGACTTCATCCAGCACCCCAGGTTGCTTGCAGCTTCAAGCTATGAAGGTGTGAAAATTGAATATCTGTGCAAATACATAGTATAGTAACCAGACATCATTAGAATAACACTGATAAAACTGATACATAACTGCTACTACAGTTATGCTTATAGCAGTAATACAGTTACGGTACCTCAAATAAAATTGGTCAGTGTTAGTGATTGCAGGTTAAAAGCTGTTAGGAGTTAGGCCTATGTCTTGCAGGGGGCAGCAAACGTAGGCACGCATGACATAGTGGCACAATAGCTTAACCGATAGCACACTGGCAATTAGTGCCCTCTCATCTGCATGCCAAAATGTCTTTCTTACAGCCATCGGCAGTTGCGCTCCCTGTCTTATTATCGGATGAAGGTAACCAGCGTTACATTATAAAAGCACCTTATGGCACCCATGTTCTGCACAGGCTTAGAAATTTTCCCCTTTAAGAGTCCCATGGTGCAGTCTGTAACAGTGATGACATTGTTTACATCTCCTTTTTTAGCCCACAACACTTACATGCTTGACATCACTAGAGGGTGCTTGATGCCTGTGAAGTAGAAGCAATTACACAAGTACAAGTACAAGTTAATAATTCTTCTATTTACACAGAATCACCAAATAATTACAAATAAGATAATCACTATTAAGTGTTAAATTATCACAGAGGCAAAACAATGGCCACTTTCAGAGTTATATTATTTTATTATTATTATTATTATTGTGATGCATTAACATGTAAGCAGCATTTTTATGTTAACAAATATATATTCTTTTGAGCGGTATGTATATGTTGAAGTTTAAAATAGCACAAAATAGAAATAGGCCCATTCAAGCTACATACAATATCAAAACATTGTATATAAAAACAGGTTTTAATATTAACTTACTGTCATTACATTCTATCACTGCTGTTTAATTGTGAGACAGAACTGAAGTGATGGCAAATATAGTTGTTGTGGAAAGTTGTGTAGAAGCCATCTGTTTACTGGAAAAGATGTAAAAATGAATTCATACTAATGGCAGAGTCCCTTTATAGATGATCAGGTAGGATATGAATAATGGACTAAATTAGCACAAGCCTCCAGGAATGCTTCTCCACAGGTCACAAAGTACAAGAGAAAAATCCCTCAGAAGGAGGATGCATGTAAACTGTGTATCTAGTGCACTATGTTAGAGGGGCCACTGTATATACAGCCAGAAAGAAGGTAACAAAGCAAAGTAATTATTTACTTTTCTCTTTTCTCCAGTAAACAAGATGAGAGACAAGATGCAAGCAGTAAGGCAAATCAAGACACAGGCCAAATAATGCAAGTTTTCTTCTCTGTTGTTGTGCCATCTACTCTTCTGTTAGTATGCATGAAAGAGTAAGAGTACACCAAGCTGAGAGGGGAGAACATGTTGTCTTGTAAAGTAATTTTTAAAAAGTAATAAACACTGCTTTTTGAATTAGCATTCTCTTTTATTTAATTCCAGAGTAATTTCATTACATTACAAGTTACAAAATTGCACAGCAACAAACAAATCACAAGAGGGCCTTTATGCCTGGTGGATATAGTATATGGCGCACATGTGAGGATTAAATCCTGCAACAAATCTCATTGCAAGCCTCTTTTGCAGAATAAGGAGTAAAACTTTCCCTCTCACTCTACACAGGTTAGATTGGTAATGTTGGATTAAATGAGATGTTGACACAAATGTGTGACTAAGCATAGGCGCCCGCATATGAGGAGTAATACTTTTTCTATAGACAAAGAGATTTATGATTCTTTTGCATAATTATAGTAAGAAGACAGTTCAAGGTGGAAGAGGAGAGGAAAAGCAGCAGGGTCTCAGGGTTCTTTGGAATTAAATGCTCAAGGTAAAACATGAATTACTAACTTGCTTCAAAATTCCCTGAGCATAGAGTCAGCACTTACTGCGGTCAGTCCTCACCCAGTATTGTTGTGTATCTTCTATCAATCGGAGGTGACTGCATGTAATATAATGAGATAACATATAATTATGCCATTATAAACATTGCAAGATACATGATTATTTAAACAGAATATATTTAACTACAGGACTGTTTACCATGGACTATTTTACAGCTAGTAGATGAATGAATGAAAATGAAATCTTAAATGTTGAAAACTCACTAACATGATTAACATTTCTCAGTTGCAGATTAATTTTTATATTTTTTTGGCCCATTTTTCACTTCCTTGGAATGCTCTTTGTAAGAATGTTCAATCTCCTGAATGTCCTTCTCCACTTCCTGTAAGACTTCTGCAATCTCTTTCTCGGTCTGAAGTTGTTCTTTGTTTTGTCCTGCAGATCCAAACGTATCTTCCTCTGACAATGATTGTATTTCATCACAGTTCTGAGAGGGGGCTCTGCTCCGCCTATGGAGGGACCCAGCATCTGTGACCTCTATGGATAGCTCATTGTGAGGCTGTCTGGTGATTGCAGCTCCGCTCTGCAAGGTGGTGGTGGTTACATCAAATACATACAGCTTCTGTTGAGGCTCATCAGTAGGGAATTTTGGAGAATATTTGAATGAGTTTCCAGGGTAAGCCAAGGTGGAGCTTGCAACGTTACCTGCAACCACCCCTTGAGGTTTACCCTTCATCATTCCCAGGACTTCATAGCGGAAGCTGGAGATATCCTGCTTAAGCTCCTATCAATTATTGAGAAACAGAAATTAAACAATAGCAGAGATGACACAGTAATAAAAAAAATCAGTGATTGAGGTTCCAATATCGAATAACTACATAATACCTTGAAATTTTCTTCTGTCAACCCTTCCGCTGTCTTTGCATCTCTGATCATTGCAGCCACATACCTCTTCACAAGGTTCCTCAATACTTCCTAAAAAATATGCAAATTATTTTTAATAAGGCAATAAAGTTTAATCTAATTCAAAAACATCAAAACTTGTTGAGAGCAAATTACTACCTGATACTCATGGTTTATTCTTACATTTTCGGCTGCACGTCTCTACAATTACAAACAAAACAGGTCCATTAACAAAGCAACACATTATTTATGTTTGCAATGGGGGGTTAAATTGTCCTTTCACTACTTGCAATTTTTCAATAAGAGGTCTTTCGAGATACATTAACTTGGTGCCTAATTAATTTCTGAATAGAACAGGTAATTTAATTTACTCTTAATTATTTTGGAGCCGCTCGCTTTGAGGCTACAATACCAGACAAGCATTGAAAATGTATGGAGTGCAGTGGTGACAACACATATCAGAGCAAATCTTTGGAAGATCCTTACCCCCAAAGTTTCGAAGGTTTCAAGTCTTAAGGTTTGTCTCTTAAACAATTGTGTCTTTATCCATCCAATTACATAATAAACAGACTTTGGACTAGGTATTATATTAAATGGAGATGGCAAAGTTCCCCCTTCTTCAAAATAGCTCATCCATAATTTTGTTCTTGCAAATTTCCACTCTATATCGGCGTGATCCTGAAAAGCAAAACAAATATCAATTAATAAAAATGTTCTGCAAAGGACTGTAAGACAAATTAGTGTGGTAAAACTATAATATAGATAAGCTACACCACTCACAGCAATGTGCTGGTAGGAGTTGTTCATCATTGCAATTAGCATGTTCAGAAGCACTACCAGGGAGATGACGTTGTACGTGCCGAACATGGTAGTGCCCACAAACTCAGTGAATCTATGATCTGGTTCCACATTGGTCACATAGAGGGAAATCAGGCCAAATACAGACCAAAATAAGGACTGCAGCGTCTCGAACAGCCTGAAAAGCAAACAACCATACATTACATTATGTGCTGCTGAAAAACAAACATATTAATTATTAACAATGCAGATTTGTCAGGGACAATTTATTTAAGAACTTGCGTTGAGAAGGCGTTGTTTTGTTGGCTACAGCGAATACCCTTGCATTTATTATCCTCTATCTTTTCATCATAATAATAATAGAGCTGGTTGAGGCCATTGGCAAAGGCTAACAACACTAGACAGTAGATGAAGAGGAACTTGAGGATGTCCAGGAGCATGCGGCCCAGTGAGATCTGTAAGGGGCCCAGATGGGAGTTGGCAGTGAAAAGACAGATGAGGCGCAAGGAGCTGAAGATGTTGGCGATGGCAAACAATGCCTCTGCCACCAAAGTCGGGTGCCACATTTCCCAGGTGCATCTGGGTTTATTCCCACTGTACTGTAAAAAAAATAATTATAATAAAAGAACAATGAAAATGAGAAACTGATGCTGCAATATTTCAGGTTTTCCAGCACACAAGTTGAATTTTCTACTGATAAATACAAGAATATACAGAGATAAAATATATCATTTATTTAAATTTTCCTCTTAAATTTTTCTGAATCGGTGTCTGTCAAACACCTTGCGTAGCAAAATGTACAGTACCTTTACATAGGCAACAATCTTCAGTGAAATGGTTGCAAGGTACAAGGAGTTCATTATAAAGTCCATTAAGTTCCACCAGTCATCCATATAGTCTTGGAAACCACTGTCCCACATCTGTTTGATCTCAGTCCATATGAAGCCTTGGAGAAATGAGCAAACAACAGAGGTCATTTGTCACTCAAATATAGTTCCACAAGAAATGTGAGAAACAGCAGACCAGATCATACAGTATAGGATACATAGGGTCATGGTCACCTTTGTTTGACTTTCTTCAGATGTGTGTGACTACAGTGTATAGATGTACAACAGTGCATGATAACATGACGTGGCGTGTGTGTGCGTGTGTTTGTTGTTACCAAGCACCCAGGGCAGGATCATCCATTCCACAGAGGTAGGTGGTGGGCCCTGAATGTGCGGGTCTACAGGGTCTGTGTGCTGTGAGGCCAAGAGGAGCAGGAAAAGGAAGGTCAGGTAGGAAGCAGTGTGACAGATGAACTTGATGAAGGGCTTACGGATGAATAAGCCATAGCGGCTCTTTGGAGAGATCAGGTAGAAGAAGGATAAGAGTGGGAAGAGGAAGCCAATGAAGATACACGTGACAAGCTTTCCTGCCCAGTGACGCCTCCTCCAGCCTGGGAACTCATCGTACCACCGAGACGCCAGCAGCTGCTGACAGTTGGGCTGAGCAACAAACTGAAAGAAAGAGAAAAACATGTTAACTAAACTCTCCTTTATTTACCTCTTGGTCTTAGAAATCCATTCAGACAATGATGGACAAATTAGAAAAAAGGCCATTATACCTAAACTTCCCCATCCCTGACCTGCAAACAGTACACAAAAACATACACAAAACATTTTTCTCTATTTTTTCTCTATTTCTCATTTGCTTAATATACAATGGTAACAGACGTTGCTAACCCACAAGTGGGCAAACATTTTGCTAATCCTCGGTTAAGAAGTGATTGTCAAATCTGTTTCCCATACACATTGTATCTGCCCTGTGAGATTTAATATAAGCATCTGCTGGACATCTGCGGATAGTGATGGAAGTTAATTTCAACTTAACCAAGTTACAGCCAAATGGATCCCCATTATGGTACTATATAGCATTAAATTGTGGATGATGAGGTCATCTATCAGTGCAGAATCTGACATCTTTAATGTTTCCTATCTGTCCTTGTGAGATGTTGACCTGCCATAACATGACTGGAGGGAAAAGGTGGCATCTGGCAGGATTTTGTCTGAGGACATTTTTGGAAGGTTAAAATCGCCCCAACCACGTGCCACACCACTCTGCCCTTCAAAAACAAGTATTAATTATGTCCTAAGGCACATTCATACATATTTATGTTTCCTTACATGCACGCTGTACATGGAAACACTGCTCATACAGCAATGGGATTTTTTAATAAAAGACTAGACCATGTTTTGCACTTAAATATACAATAACACATTATCATGTGACTGAGTGCAGAAGGCAGCACAAGAACAGAGGAAAACATCTTTACCGAATACATTACAGGAAGATTTTGCCACTAATAACATTCCGTAAGTGCTGGTGGTCTGTGCAGTCCATTAAAACTCTGTAACCACTTGCATTTTCTTTGGAGAAGTCCTAAATGGCAAACCAGCTTAACGATGACTTTTCTTTTGTCTGGTTGTTTGGTCAAATAGACACATGGACAATAGCAACATACTATACTGGCAGCACACAACAACCTCTTAATGGCCACTTCTCCGCAGTTAGGGAAGGGCAGGACAAACAATCCACACTCCTATATACATTTTTCTTACTTACTACCTATTGTTGGGAGTACGTGGTTTCGCTCATCTTCCAGTCTAATCCAAATAGTGGTCAACTCCCTCAATATTGTATCGTGAAATGAAAACTATGCAACATGCTCTTTTTAAAGTGTTCTTGTGTCTTTTGATATTTAAATGTATCTAATAATACATTGTAAAATTTAAGGGCTATCAAATTTGTAATACAAAAAAGGATTCCTACTTTTTCCACACTATGCTTGTCACCCAAACGTAAACCATCTGTTGTAACAGAGGACTATCAGAAAAATATATATATATTTGTGGCCCTGGCTCATAGGACAATAAAAAGGAGTGACTTGTAGCTATCTTCAACTTCAGGTCAATCATAGATGTAATCACACATGACTAGTTAGTTTTATATATATATATATTATTTTAAGTTATTAAAGTTGTCCAATTTTATACAAGCAAATCCACTGACTACAATCATAGTGTCATGATCATACCGAATATGAGGCATGAATAACACACTAATTCTCATAATTTATAAGTACTACATAAAAACCATCAATAGTCCTCATGATTTTTCATGAAATGAAAAACAACTCTGTGATCATCAAAATGCATGAACTAAATATAGGAACTAGCACATAAACAATTGCTACAATTAGTGTACAGCTGCACTGGAGCAGTTATTACCGTTCTTCAAAACACGAGCACAAATGTGGAGAAACCATTAAGCTCTTTGTTTTATCAAGTTCGTTTCTTGATTAGGGCTATTTACACCAAATATGTAACTACGCAAGATGAATAGCAAAGGCTTGTCTTGTTGTATTTATTACTGCCCTAGGATTTTACTGGTCCAAAACTGATCACGTCTGTTTCCAAAGCATCCAGGTGTCAAGAAGGTCAAAACTCACTCAAGTCCAAGAGAAGAAATTAATGTCAGACTAAAATCAGACTCTCCTCTCTTCCGATGTTATACTTGACATCATACAGTGACATCTTGCTGCTATTTTTAGAGCCACCAGTGTCCAATTTTGTCCAGTGTTACATTTTTAACAGCTTTTCCTTTTTGTAATGTGTGTGTTCCGATCATAGCCAGGTCCTGTTGTTTTTGTTGTTATTATTATTATTATTATTATTATTATTTTATTATTAGTATTGTTAGCAATAGTAGTAGTAATAGTAGTAGTAGTGGTAGTAGTAGTGTATGTAGTACATGATCAGAGTAAAATGCAGTCTGAAATCGAGCAAAGAAATCTTGTTCAATACACCAATAGCCACTGAGCCACTGAAAACTGCATGGAAAGACTCTTAAAAACTCAAGACCAAGACTAAATCTGAACATAGAAGATGAGAAGTGCACAGGTGGTATTAACTCTGCAAATACTACGCAATTGCTGTATACAAACAAGACCCAAAAGCTATAAGCAGTCTCTTTAGTGAGTGAAACAAATAACAAAACAATCCTGACCTTTCTTTTACTTGCATAAACGCAGTAAAAGGCTATAATGCCACATTTTCTGGCCTCCCACTGTTGAGAGAAATAAATGTTTTCTAAATGCAGTGAATTGAGACCAAAGGTTTAATTTTCTACAAGCTTATACTTTCATTGTTGTCACCTAATGCTGTGTTAAGCAAAAATCAATGCAAAGTTTATACATTTACAGATATTATAAACTTCATTGGTAATTCTCAAAATTATTGCTGATCCTTATTGTTACAGTGTGATTATAATGTGTATTTTTTTAGAGGCACTATTCCATAACAAATGACAGAAAGTTGACATTGCATCCAGGGGATAAATGTTCTAAAGAAAATGTTAAAAAAGAGTGTCCCTCCCTAATTTAAATATTATGAGTATGTATTTCAGGAAATGGCCATGGCCATCACTTATTCCATCATTATCCCCAATTATCCAATTGTCATGGGACTGTCTGAGAGAGCTACTGTAATGCATTGCTAAGAGCCAGCCTGACAATTACATGTTGTTCTAAACTCCCAAAGGACATCTCCACCCATCTCAAGCCATTTGCAGCGTATCTTGGCACCATTCTTGTTATTCACTACATGTTATTCAAATAATTTAATACTTATTCCTTGTTGTGATTGTACTTGGGTTTAATACAGCAACAACGCAGTCTCCATGAGTACCAGTGCTACCAAGACAAATTACTTTTCTTCACTTGTGTTATCTTTTTCACCATGAAGACATGCACAAAGAAACTGCTGGTGTATCGCTGTAGGCCACAGCAGTCATCTGACAAAGAGCATATCCTAATCAACAAAGAGCTTACCTCTTTCTGGCAGTATTTGATAGCCAGCTTCAGTCGGGCCAGATCATTACCATTCTCATCCAGCAAAGGGTTGATGTCGTCACGGTAGTTGAGGATTATTTCCAACTCTTTGGAGCTTCTGGTCTGGTCCAAGAGGTTCTTTGCAAATTGTTGACACATACGGGACAGCTCCTCGTACTCTGACTTGAACTCGTTCTCCACCGTGCTGAGCTCCTTCAGCTCCCAGCTGAGTTGAAAAGCTGTGAGGAAAGGATCCTCGCTGGAGAGGGCAATGAGTGATGGGCTGGCAAGGGCCTTGTAGATGTTAAGACGAGAGCGCGAATGACGAAGGCCGTCCACGTCTGAACTGGACACACACTCCACGCAGTTGCAGCGCACAGCATGTGGCTGAGGTATGGAGACACCTCGCTGCACAAGAAGTTTGATTATCTCATAGTTGTTGGTGTGGGCTGCAAGGATGATTGGAGTGATGTCTGGGGTGAAGTCTGAAAACTGTTTGTCCAGCAGAATTGGTGGAACCTTTTCAGAAAGCCAAGAGAGGACATACATATGAACAGACATGAAAATGTACAGTACAGTTTTATCAGTTAGTTCTCAAAAGAACCCCTTTTTGGCAGCTTCTAACCCTGACAGGAACGATAAGAACTGGCTTAAATGGGTCTAATATCATCTGTCTTGGGTCTCTAAACATCTTATCTAACAGCAAGCACACAGCTAATGGGTTGTGGTTCAGCTGGCCTCAAAATATCTTCCTGGTTGGAAGCAACTACACTCTTTTTTTCTTTTTCCTTCTCTTCACAGAATACACCCAAGTCCATTACAGAGACCCAGCAGCATCGAAAAGCAAACATAGAAAGATGTCAAGCAACTGGGGGGCTTTATCAAATTGCCTGATTTGCAAACCACGGAGAATGTAATGTTTGTAAAAGCTGTGGCAAAAATACCCACAGCAGCAGAGTGTCAGTGCTGAAGCTTTCCAGCAGAAAATAAGAGTTGGATTCCTAAAATAAACAGCCGTGCCTGAAACAAGACACGGAAGAAAGCACCTCTGCAAGAAATGTTTTGATCATTTGGGAAATGTTGCTGTAAGGGGTGAAATTGATTCACGGAAGACAATTTAATAATCTAATATTAGGCTAACTGATGATAATGAATTTATAAATCTGCCACAATGTCTCACTTGTTGCTAACCAGGACAGTTAACAATGTTTCCCATTGAAGCAGATTAAAAGGTGTCACATACTGTACTTGTGTTTTTTTCTAAGTCTAAATAGAATTTGTAGCTGACAGTGAGGCACTTCTGCCCAAACTTAACCATGGTCAGCAATATCAGTACTTCCACAAAGGAAAACGGGAAACTCTGTACACAGGTTAGTGACAAGTACAAATATACAGTACACAGTGCAGTCATCAAATAAGGCATAATTGTGTGGGCAGGTTGGTTCTGTTGCAGAAGCAAAAAAGAAAAGCTTAGAATAAGAATAAGTTTTGTGAATGCACAAAAATTAAACTGAAGCTACACAGGTTTCCAATAAACCACAACCTGTGGGAACGTGAGAAATAGGATATTATCATGGATCTACAGTACCTGTTTCTCCCCACGTGGCTTCTTGTGGTTGAGCAGCAGCTCCACAGCCCCCACCACTTCTTTACGAATGGCATGTAGCAGGGCATCACCCACATATACATTATAGCTGAGCAGCAGCTCAATGATCTCCAGGTTCTCATTTTCAATGGCAATGAGCAGGGCTGTGCGTCCCAGGGGGTCGATGCAGTTGATGTTGATCCTGAAGTAGATCTCAGCCTCCTCCAGGGCTTGTTTCACACTAGCATAGTCCCCCTTTTCAACAGCCCCCAGGTAGGCCCTCTCCAAGGCAGAGAGCTCAGATTCAGCCCGCACGATCCTCAGGGGGATGCGGTCCCTGTATGAGGAGTTGTCGGTTTTCCTGTAATACAGCTGTGACATTGCTGCTACAGCATCACAGTCTCAACTGATAATGAATGAGAAATAACAAGACAGGAGGGGAAGTGAGATCAAGTTTCAGGGCTGATGTTTCAGACACTGTTTTTTTTTTTTATTCAATTGTATTGCAATACACTCCTTTGGAAAATGCATTTTAATTCAGCATTAATTTATAATAATATTTCTTGCAATTATGTATTTCAGTGTTTAAATCAAGATATTGTTAAAACACGTTACTGTTGAACTGTAAACACTCTTCCTATGCAAATCCAAAACAGTTAGCATTGACATAAACATGATCTGAAATCTGAGTAAACTTTAACTTTTGTAAGAAAGAAAACCATTAATAGTTGACTGCAGGTGACTTAAAGAGACAATTTCGATTATAAACGTAGGCCTAATTAATCACATATAAACGAATCTAACGCAAAATAAACACTGAATTTTACCTTTCCACTTGTGATTTACTCATGAACCACTCGACGGAGAACCAGAGGCTGCGGCTGTCAGAGAGGAAACTGGTCGGATCCTCATCTTATCACTAAAGTCTCCACTGGAGACACTGTAATGTCATGTCATGCAATCCTGTGCCCACCCCTTTCGCTCTCTCCTCTGTAGGGGCAATAAGGACTTGCACATTTCTCGGTAAAAGCCACACGTCAGATCAACAGGTGACACATCCTCTCGCACAAACTGTGCGCTCAAAACCCAGAAAAAGCATTTACAGCCATCACCGCGGTGCAACCCCTTTATCACAGGGTAACAAGTGCTGTGGTAGCGGTAGACTCCCAGGAAGGAAACCCACCACTGTTTACTTTCATGCAAAAGTCATTCGATTACTTTTTATTCATATTATGGGCAGTTAAAGTAAAGTGGCGTTTTTCCAAGAATAATTTGACGTTAAGTGAATATGACAGTAGAGGAAAGGCTTATATCATAGTTCATTTCTCATTTGTTTTCTTTTTAGATTTAGTAGGCTGGCAAACTGTTAGGATTGTGAGCGCAATGACATTAAAATGGCATTTATTCACTCGTTTGACTGATTAAAATCCTGAAGCCACTGGTAGTAACTGATCAACATTTCTATGAAACCCAAACAACTTAAGCTGTATACCCCTCAAGCACGGTAAGAGAGCCCACTTTTTGGGGGGTTCTCCGGCATTCAGATGGATCACATGCTCCTCAAGATTCCTTAAAAAGACTAAGATGTCAGGTATAAACACAAATCAGTTTGATGAATGATATCCCTGAGAATATCCTCAACAAAGCCTTGAAAGACAGTAAGGGTGTTAACCGTAGTTCCTGTCTGCCTGTCAGCACAGCCCCCAGTTGAACAAATGATTGGATTTTTCCTGTATAAACACATTCCAGACCTCCTGAAAAAATTACTTAACAAAAAATCTCTGCCTCTGCTGGATCCATGTTTGACTTATTTTTGCTGTAATGTTAATTTTACTCAAAAGAAGAAGCTGGTCAAAATCACAAGGTCTTTACTTGAAAAGGTTGGAGGCAGACATACAAATTAAGTAAACCTCTCAAGAGCAAAATAAACAACGCCAAAGCTCTAAAAACTAAAAAGGCTAAAGAGTAAGCTACTTGAGAACATCGCACAGTGTCACCAAGCAAAATCAAAGACAAGCACTGAGCAACAAAAACTAGGGCTTTAAATACAAGGTATAACAAATTGGGTTCAGGTGTCCCAGGGTCTTCTTCTCCATCCTCTGTGTTGCTGGTTAGCTCCACTACCTGCTGCCACTCTCTGTCCTAGCTGACCCATGACAGCTTTGGCAAATATATCAGCAAACAGGTTACTCATGTTATACTTCCAGTCACGAAGCAGCATGAGCATTTAATGGTAGATGTGTTTCTGGCAACATGATGAATGTGAGTGACAATTTTCAGTTTTTATTTGGTCTCTTGATGCTTCCTAGAAACGTGTGTTTAGTTGCTATAGTTGCTCTACTTCCTCTAGTTGTTAGTGGGGCTGACACTAGCAACACACTGGATCCAGTGTTAATACGAAATGATTGTATAAAGCTGGCCTGCTTAAGTCAAGCAAGAAGCACGACTTAACAATATTACCCTAATTACTAGATTGCCTTCACCACAAGAGGGTCATTACGCACATGGCTCAATGAAGAAAATCAATCAAATCCAAAGTCTAATAAAATGACAAATTTGTCTAAAAACTATGAGACTAAAGTTAAAGACTTATAAACTCCTGAAGTCAGGAGAAGATGCAATAATGCTGCAGTAGGTTCCAGATAAGTATGCCATAAGCCTTATGGCATACCTATCTGGATACTGCGTAAGTTTCCCGTATGGCATAAGAAGTCACGTTGAAGTCACAATGAAGACATAAACATCATTGTATAGTAGATCCTGGGGATATAAAAACAAACAGGGGCTCTGCTGTCTTTAGAACAAATGACATGATCTACTGAGACCAAAACATGCATGTGAAAAGTTTGCCCTTTAGTAATGAAACACATGAAAAGCACAACCATGTCCAATGTTTCTACATCTTGTGAGAACTGTTTTTTTTTCATAAATGTTCACAAGAGTTTGAGTTACCGAACTTGTCCTGAAAAACACAGTTTGCCACAGAGCGTGGAAGATGTGAAGTAATTTCACCCCAATAGGCTCTGTTTTTCCATTGAGGCTAATTACTGTCGAAGGAAAACAGCCTTGAAATATGTAATATGTTTAAAATCAGTCTTCAGCTGGCTAGTGTGAGCCTGTACAGTTGCTAAGAAGTTTCTTACCAATCATTCTCTTTCTTTCACATCCATAGGCAAAAATATCAAAACACACCGTACAGCTGATGTTTATGTTCATATAAGGAGGTCAGTCATTTTGTCAATTTCACATTGAGCATGGTTTCATGTTTTCAGTGTGCTATTTTATTTTGTGATCTATTTGAAAGAGCAGTTTTCTAAGGTTAAGGCTTAGAATGACATTTGTAATGCATTCGGTGCAGTCAGGTTTGTCAAATGAAAAATCAATAGACAATATTGAGACAAATTTCATAACGTTAGTCAACTAACAAATATGAAGTTAATATCAATATCAAAATAGATGTTTTTTCTTACATTTAATCCTTTTAAGATATTATATTTATGTTGTAGATCTTTTTGCGTTTCCAGCATTTGTGCATTTTGAGTGCTGTTCTGGAGGCAACAGCTCACTTTCATCCGGTGTTGACACTGTCAATGTCAGAAGACATTGTTGTGATGACTAACACATTCAAAGTGCATCATGCTGTATGAATCATGGGTTCACATTCAGTATTTCCGCCTTTATCTTGTAGGCATTGTAATTAGAATGTGTTAGGTTGGAGAAAGGTTTGTGCTTTTGTGTGATTTTTTTGTGATTTTGTGTGAGAGAACTCAGTGTATGATAAAAAAACATTCCCCCCTTTTTGAATCAACCAAATCTCTCACTTAGAGGACTTGTGGTCATCATTATCATCATTGCAGCTATTATCTCATCACACTCATTGCAAGACATCTGCAAGGCAGTCTGGTTTGTACACTTACCAGTACAGTGCTGCACCATCTTATCCTGCAGTACAGTGAAGGAATATGTTATGAACAGACACAATATTTAATTGGTTCACATACATAATGCATGCATTGTGAAACCTCTTTAAACATTAAAAGCTGGCCATGGGTTATCATGTTTTACACAGATGGACCAAATGGCTCTAATTAGCCCAACATGCTATGTATAACATCACTTTAAAACACAAAAAACACATTCCATTTCATGTTGGAGATGGAGTATTTAATATTTAGTATTTAAGTACATTTTTAGAATAAAATAAACTTTATTGTCATATATACAATCATATACAGTACAACGTATACAGTGATATTTTAACCCATCCTAAACACTATGGGCAGCGGGCAGCCACTGCACCCTGGAACCAAATCCAGATCTAAGCCAGTAACTACTAGATCTCAAGGGCACTGACTGGAGAATTAACCTATCATACATGTTTTAAAGATGGGGAACACCCAGAGAAAACATGCAATGAATTGCTGTGGATGGGGTCAACAGCAAAATGTATTCTAGCCACCAAAAAGAGTCCTTTGGAGAGAGTGATATAATGGCTTCAGTTTCCCATTGGAAAGGACTGACAGCGATTACCTTGCTATCAGTCCTTTTCAAGTGGTGAAAAGATTCTAAATATAGCGTTTATACACCAACACTGTTTTTCAAGTGACTGACTATGAATAAGTATACACCACTTTTAAAATATGAGGAAGTCCCTCCTTGACTTTCTATTTCTCACTTCATGCAGTTGGGGCAAGAGGAAGGTAATCTCTTCCAGCTCTTTTAAACAGCAAGCTTAACTTTACGTTTACAAATTGCCTAATACAACTTTTTTAGCTTCTGTCAAGGAGGCAATTTTGTTTTAAATGATCAGACAATAATTTTGTGGCTCCAGGTGTTAAAATTAATTTCCCAGAAAGCAATCACATACCAGATTTATTTCAAGACTGCGTTTATCGTGACATAAAACAAGACAAAGAAAAAGTCAGTAAAACCTTTACAGCCACAGCGAGTATAGCAATTTAGAAAGTCAATAATCCACAGAATTGGATTTCTGAGCAAAAGATCATGTTGCAGTCACATCACAAATTTGTCAACATCTTGACATTAATAATACATAGAAAAACGTCCTGCTTCTGTACTCTTGCAAGTCTGGGTCAGTTTAAAATGGAGCTACTTAAAATTAACCCATTCATTTTTACAGTAACAGCCATTTTTGGAAATTGTATTGCGTTGTTTTTTTGTTTTCTGAGGTACCCTTTAGATTATTTATTACATTTGTCTACTTTTATGTACTAAACATTTTGTTTGATTCAACAGAGAAAGCATCATGGCTAATGAAGTATAGCTACATTGACATTTGTTTGGAACAGGAACAGAAGTAAAGTCACTTAAAAGAAACATGCAGTATTCACGATCTCATCCATTAAAGCTGGTAAACTGAGAATAAAAACATGAATTCTTGGTGTTTACTGTGTTTTTTTTTTCTAATAGCAAAAGTTTGACTGTCTTTTGAAGTGTATAAAGTCATGACATATGAACAAAACCTTCTCAATAAAACCATTCTGAAGCAAAAGAGTAATTAAAATACTGTAGAACAAATAATTTTACCAGTTTATGATTCAGGTTGAAATAATGTTATATTGTATCCACTGAAGATCAAAATGATGATGAGTGGCAGTTGAAAATATCTGTTACAATATGAGCAGATGCTGTATCTTTCCTTTTTGTCCCTTGTCGCTTGTCAGTATTACAGAGCACAGTTGAGGCAGCTGGTACAGTTCTGTGCCCTGAGGAGCACTCAGCCTTTTTTATTTATTCCTACTGATATGTGAGAGCCCTGATGTGCAGCCACCTTTCGAATATCACCTGTTTATTTTTAGAGTTTCCTGGTTGAATTGCCTGCCATAGCACTGTGCTGTCAATTTAAGTTAAGGTCACACAATATGATCGGCTCATGTAGGCTACTGTATTTTTATTTTTGATGCCTTTTGCAAGGGAGAGCTGTGGATAGACAGAGCTGACATCTGACTGCAGAATGTGACCTGTATTACAATTTCCCCTATCCTGGTCCAGACAATATGCAATGCTACAAATATGTTTTGTTAGAAACTCTAGGCAACAGCTAAACCCAAGCTACACCGAT